CATAAGGGAAGCTTGTTGATCTGTCAACAGGAATGTCCAAGCGGATTAGTGGATGAAGAAACTTTTAAAACTATCTACTCACAGTTCTTCCCTCAAGGAGGTACAGTAACTATATATAACCTGAGTCTCATGCCAACTGCTGTTTGCCTGAGTGTTCCTGTTCTAAAGGTCTATTTTAAATGTGTTAGATATTTTTTAGTGGTAGCCCACCAGTGTAGCATAATGGTTGAACATACCATAAGAATATTTTGTTTTAGCAAAAAAAACATAATTTTTTATACCATTGCATTGATTTCCATGTTTTCTTTCAGATGCTACCACATACGCTCATTTTTTGTTTAACGCATTCGACGTGGACAGAAATGGTTCCATCCGATTTGAGGTGAGTCAATCAGTGGCTGCAGTTTTGATCAAATCTAACAGCTTGACCATTTTTTCAGCAGCTTCCTTCTTTGACTCTATGTGCTTAGTTGAGGTTTTATCCTCTTGACCAACAAAGCATTGTGAACTTTGTCCAAAAACCCATTGCCGATTCTTTGCAGAACTGCTGAGAGTCTTATGTCTACGGAAGAGGATTAGGGCCACTGAAAAAAAAAAGTTAACTGATTTTTTAATTTTATTTCAGTTTAATATGGGGAAAAGGTCAGAATTCTGAGATTAAAGTCAGAATTCTGAGGAAAAAAAAGTCAGAATTCTGAGATTAAAGACAGAATTCTGACTTTTTCTTCCCATATTAAACTGAAATAAAATTAAAAAATCAGTTAACCTTCTTTTATTTTTTCAGTGGCCTTAATCCTCTTCCGTATGTCTCTAGTGCTTTTGCATATCTGTAAACCTTTTCTTTTTTATTGTCATTTTATTAAATAGCTCAAGCTCAGTTTGACTTTATCCAGTCAAAACATCAGTGAACACCAGCTTTTGATTCTTTTTACAGATTCTCAAATGGATCCAGTTCTGGACTTTTACTAGGCCATTCTTATACATGATAATGCTCTAATCTACAATAAATCTCCTAACACCAGTGCTCTGTACACTTTGAAGACTAGTACTTGTAGCTTTGGATGTGTGTTTAGGGCCCTTGTCCAGCTGGAAGAGGACTTTCTGCCCAAGTCTAAGTCTTCTAACAGCCTACAACAGATTTTCTTCCAGGTTTTCCCCACATCCAATCCAAATCCCCTCCCCCACCTATCACCCCTGCAGTTGACAATGTACCTATTGGCTGTTTCTTTGATTAATATTCTTTACAGCTTTCTTCCAAAGCATTCTGATGTGTTCCTTGATATTCATGGTGCTACTTTTGTAGTATATTCTCTATTAAACCCCAGAGTTCTTTATCAAAACAGCTGGATTATTTCTCAGATTAGATAACACACATGCATTTACAAATTATTTCACTTCTGAAGGCATTTGACTGCTCTTATTTAGGTTTATCAGAGTGAAGGATTCTGAACTTACACCACGTTTCAGATTTTTTTTCAAAGTATGTTGCGGTTATTAGGCAAAAGGTTGGCAGTCCATGTGCAATTACTTTTTTTTTTTGCAAGACCCTGCAGCTGCTTACAGCAAACTAAGAAAAACATTTCCATCTCAATCACAGGACTTTGTGTTGGGACTCTCTGTTTTACTGCGAGGTTCTGTTACTGAGAAACTTCGCTGGGCATTTAATCTTTATGATATCAACAAGGATGGCTACGTAACTAAGGAGGTAACAGATCTAATGGAGCAAAAGCTTTCAAACTAAATACAGTTCATTGTAAAAACCTGTGCATTCATTTTGTGCCCTGCAGGAAATGTTGGCGATTATGACCTCCATATACGACATGATGGGCCGGTATACCTTACCCAGCATACGAGATGATTCTCCCTTTGACCATGTGGAGAAATTTTTCCAGGTGCACTAAAACTATTTTTTTATTCATATATATAATTTTCACAGTAAATATCTAAAGCATAAAAAATAAACCTGTTGGTATTTTTATATTAGTACATAACTTTCATTTCTTAGAAATTTTCTAATCTAATTAAATCATGAGGTTACATTAGCTTTACTTATTTACTATTCTTCTCTTGTCTTGTGAATTTATTCATCTGTTTTCTTAGAAAATGGATAAAAACAGAGACGGAGTCGTGACAATAGAGGAATTCATAGAAACTTGCCAAAAGGTAAATTATCCCCAAAGCGACAACATTCACCAGGCAGTAATTACCAAAATCAAAAGTGTTTTTCTAATATCTTCTTTTTTTTTCTCAATAGGATGAAAATATAATGGCTTCCATGCAGCTCTTTGAGAACGTCCTTTAGTTTCTGTAGGGAAATTTTCACCTTGTGACGCTTCCAGTTACAGCCACAGGCTACAGCTCCTAAGCATATCCACTTATCTAAAGATGATTTTGGACAATACATATAGGACACATGTTCATATAGTCTAGACAACACAGATTTCCCGTAAAATGTGAATATCTAAAATAGTATCCACCAAATCACATTAAAGCATTTCTTTTTTTTTTGCATGAAAGTGTTTTTTTATGTGGAAAATATCTCTATTACAAGACGTGCATGAGTGTTTCCCTGAATTAAAACAGCATGTGAATGTGTATTTATATGCAAAGAAAATGTTTTGGTTTGTTTTGTTGTTGGAAATGCTAAATGTGGGAGAATACTTTATTATTAAATACTACTGTGGTGAGTGTCCTGGATTTTTTTTAGATATATATTATATATACTTGGTATGAAATCTGCATATTTCATATCTCATAGATTTTTTTGGCTAAATTTAGGAATATCATATCCATGGATGGATGGATGGTTTTTGAATCTTTAATTACCAACATTTTTAATATTCTATTTTCCTAAAAATACTTTAAATTCCAGTGTGTTTCAGTAATACTTTTATTTTGAAATATCTCCGTAGCTAAAAAAATTGCCTTAAGACCAGGACTTTAAAATCATTGTCTAGTAATTGACTGTTTCTTTAACTTTAAAGTCTACTGATCAGATTTTTGCTTTTGAGGGACATAAAGTGAGTTCATATAACTTACATCCTCTCATTATTTACCTGTAAATTTGTTTTTTAAACAGATGTTACTTATTTCTTTACTTATTTTACTTCATCATTAAAACATAGAGTGATATAATTAAATGCATAATAGAGGCCCTTTTCATTTTGTGACTACGGAGTCAGAAAAACAGCATCAGCAGAAACATTGAAGCTGTCCTCTAGGCCTATTATTGAACATTGAAAACCAGCCGCTGTTTGTTGTGGGGAGGAGCTAAACTGGATGCTGGTATGGAAATGATAATGAAGGCCAACATGCTGCCCAGCTACACTGTAGATGTTGTTTGATGAGAGACCACAGCTTCAGCATCAGAACCAATCTGTGGGACTAATAAAAACGGTAAAGTACCCTTTTCTCTCTCCAGCAGCTGAGGCAATATTATTGGATGTGTGTCACTTTCTCATCTTCAAGACGTACACATTCGAAATTCAATTCAATCCAATCATTATACAAATATTGAAAAGGTTTTATTTATTGAATAAGAATAAAAAAAAAAAAAATAGGATAATTTTTGGAAGCTCTTGTTTTAATCAAAATTACCTTTTCTTATGCACTGCTACTGAAAATTAAATGACGTTTTAATGTGTTTGATCTTAACGCTTTCTTTCAAAAATAATTTCAGTAATGTATAAAGGATTAAACAGTGTAATACATCACTGTTAATCACAGGGAGGAGAATAAAACAAAAAAACTCCCAACATAAAAAAGTGAAATCTGCATCACAGGATCCTCAACTAATCCCGTTGTTGACAGAGCATGTGCTGGATGGTTCTGGATCTCTGTTGTGTTAGCAGAGGGGAGTCTAGGACTTTGTTCATCCAGTAACAATAAATCAAAAGCCAGTTTGAACTCCTGCCAATAGATTTGGATCACCCCTGTCATCCACTATAACAAAGTGTTCAGTATCATTCCATGAAAAAAAATAACGTATTTTGAGATTCAACTTTTTTTTATATAGTAAACATTTGTTTGAAATTTACAGCTTTCCAGTGATGGCTGCTCTGCAAAGACTGCGTTTATTCTGGGTGTTGATGCTGCTCGCTGCGGCGTTGTGCCCAGGTTCACTCAGCAAGCGAGGGGGAGGGTTCAAAGGTAACGGTAAAGGTGACACCAGCAAAGCGTCTTCCTCCCAAGGCCTCCCCAAAAAGGGCCTGAAGTGGGCTGGAGCGGCAGGAGCCGGCATGCTGGGAGGAACCGGTACAGGTTACGGGCTGGGATTCATCGGCAGGCCAAAGCATGCAACTGGGAACCATCACAACCACAAGACAGAACATCAACAGCCTAATTATCAGGAAAACCAAAGATACAACAACCGTTCTATCTGGAGAGCATTTGTAAGAGGATCTGCCCCTGCTATGGAGAGAAGCTTCTTTCTCACAATAGGACATGTGGTGCCTTTTCTTACAGCAGCCTGGATCAGAGACATTTAATCTAGTCGCTGCTTATTGTGCGCTGTGACTTGTAAAAAATAAGTAAAGCTCTAAACAAAGAATTTTGATGTTTCTTGCTTTTTGCAGTTTCATTATCTCATCTCACATAGCATTTTTTGATTAATCAAATAGCTAACTTCATTAAAATTAATGATATTCTGCACAATAACAGCAGGAAAGTAAAAGCGGTCTTCCAGTGTTTATAAACCACCAGCTAATGGACATCCATGTATTATTTAAAAGCAATTACTTTCTCTATGTTATACAAATCCCAAAACGACAAAAGTAGCTAAAGAAGATCTGTGCTGATTTATAATTATTATGATTTGTAAACTTGACTGAATTTTTTTCTACAGTAAATATATATTTTTAAATGTCCAGAGTTTAAAACAACCAAAAGTGTCTACATTTTAAGTCACATTTTAGTTCATTGGACACATAGACTCGGTTTCCTATCAACAAGGGTGACTTTCATTTGTTAGAATATTGAAGAATTCAGAATAAGGATTTGACTTTGGCCTTAGACAAATTACATTTATTAAACACATCAACATCCATAACAAACCATAATAGAAATCGGATAGAGTCACAACTGATGTAAAATGATATGAAAATAAATCCTAACATATATTAACATTTATTAAACTTCAATAAAGAATATCCAATTCTGAAGGGAAATAAGTGCACTTTGCAGATATTCTACAGAGAAAGTCTACTTGCTCTAACAAAGAAATCCTGTCAAGAAACCAGATAAAATCAACCATGTTTATTTTATTCTGTGAATGAATTGAATTAATGTAAAAAGACACAATGAGTAGAAACATTTAAAATGCACATTCAGGAATCCTTACAATCTAATAGAAACAGAAACCAAAAGGTTTTTTGTTTTTTTTAGAAAGTAAAAATCAAATCATTTTATTTACCATAAATCAGCATTTTTAATTCATCCTGAAGACAGGATGACTTACTGAGATATTTACCAAAACAAAGAAATCCCTCACAAAGCTATAAAGGACTGACAGGTGAATATGCTGAAAAAAAACATGCATTTACAGCGATATTTGAACAAGAACAAGGCCAAACAGAGAATTATATTGAAGTTTCTTACAATAAAGTAAGCTGCAATAAATGAAAGTCAACAATGACTGTAAAACTAAAAACACATGCTCAGTATATTGTACAACTTTCTCAGCATCAGTGTCAACAACTCCTCCCTAAAGATACACAAGTAGATTAGGAACTACATGTGGCGATTACTATACCATTAGCAATATTTTCAATGTGCAGGTTAAAAGCATCCAGCATCACTAACAACAAACGCACAGAGCATTTGCAAAAGCTGTGGAAAGCATTGCATCATCACAGACGGATGCTTCTTCATCCAAAGCCTCAAAATACAGGAAATAACAGAAAATCACACATCAGAAAGCTTTTTATCAGATAAATCTCAGATAAAAAGCTTTCTGATTTATTTAAATTAAATGTTTGTAATTTTCTCCAGAGTGCATTATGTTGGGAGTGAAGTTCAAAGCAGCACAGGAAGTATATAAATTAATAATTCTATGTCAATTAATCATTTTTGATTTTGCAGATAATTACTAAAGATGCACTGATGAGAAATTTGTTAGGGTTTTTTTTTGTCAAATTTATGCCACTTTAATTCCTTTAGATTGAAATAATCACAATCAAACAGATTTTTTTTTCCACTTTCCATCCTAAACAGTCATTATTATTATCAAGTTCTTATATTAATAAAATAGCAGAATTTTTTTATTTAATCACAATTGTTTTACTTTCTAACCTCTCAGCAAAAAATTTAATTTAATTTTGCTATTCCAAAAAAATATATTAGAAAAAAAAGAAAAGAAAAGAAACCCAACTTTGAGCACTGATTTGGTTTTGGAGAGGAAAATGTTAAGACCAAGAGGAAAATCAAGTGTTTCCAACCTAAATACCAGCATTACTATTATTTTTTTCCACCAGCTGTGACCTTCTTTTTCCCCAAACATAAGCTTATGTAAGAGTTAACTGTTGAAAGGGAAGTGATGAGGGAAGAGTCAACAGCTATATAGAGTGAATATAGTGTGTCTAAGGGGATGATTCCTCTTGAGGATCACATAATAATGGACTAATGACACAATTTAGGCATCATACTAAATTCTTACAAATCCATTTGCTCAAAATGATCTTGCAAAATAATCTACAGGGCCACTATCTTATTGTAAATAATTTAGACATTCACTTCCATCAGTAGCTTTGCTCTTTACTATGCATTAAGGATTATAAATAAATATATATATTTTAAATCAGCAAAAAAAAGGTGCAATAAATCAACATATAATCTGAAGAACTCTGCATCATTTGCAACATGAACTTAATCCAGATTACAATGTTCTGCTGAAATGTTAATCAAAGCATGTAAGAATGTGCAGCGATGGTTAATACCGTGAGATTAGATGGACATGACATGCTGTTACAGCCATAATGGAAGCAGGGGAAATCTAGTTAGGACATGGCAGAAAGGAATCATACTCTTCTTCCTCACTGCAGCAACAGGATGCTGGACAGAAGCATGAGGCTGGAGGAGAAAAGCTGCATCACTCCATAGCTCATAGGACTGCAATGATTTGGCTGAGATTGTTGTTCAGGCTTTCGTTTTTCCATAAACTTTGCAGAGTACTTCATGTACTCCTCCACACAACGCCGGGTCTTAACTTGGTCGATCAGAGCTGGGTAACCAATTTCCTCAATGCTGACGGTGTCGTTATCCTCATCATTTGCTCCACTTTTGGAAGAGTCTTTGAGGAGGTCAGTGCGATTCATGCAGCCATCCATGAAGGCCTCATAGCTTTGAGCTCGTGGAGGAGGCTTGATGACATAGTCACGCCCATAGTCTTTTTCATCCGTTGACTTGGTCCCATATTTCTTATACATGTAGTTGTTGTAATAGTATTCTTCCTCGGGGTTGCGGAAGGAAAAATGGGGTCGAGGGAAGCGCCCTAGCCCATAACCGACGGCCATACCAGCTATGGCGCCAACACCTGCTGCCACCATGGCTTTTTTGGCGAAATTTGTCGACTTAGGTTGAATTCCCATACCCTGCACAGAACGAGAGAAAGGAGATCCTCCCATGCCTTGGCCACCATATCCATATGCTCCTCCACCAAACCGTGGGCTAAGGATTTTGTTATTTGGGTTCCAGTTAGGGTAACCACCAACCGCTCCACCGCCATAGCCACCCGGGTAGCCACCTGCTCCAGGGTACTGATAACCACCTCCTCTGGCTGGGTATTGGTTAGGATAGCCACCTGCCACCGGATATCCCCCAGCTGCAGGATACTGATTAGGATACCCTCCCCTGCCTGGATTTTGGTTGGGGTATCCACCGCCTGCAGGGTAGCCTCCAGCAGGATAATTCCCTCTCCCTGGTTGATTTGGATATCCTCCTGCAGGGTATCCACCTGCAGCGGGGTTGCCTCCAGCAGGATAATTCCCTCTCCCTGGTTGATTTGGATATCCTCCTGCAGGGTATCCACCTGCAGGATTTGGGTTGCCCCCTGCACCCGGATTGCTCGGTGGATTCTGCTTTCCAGGGTATGGGTAACTCCCTCCAGCGGGATATGGATTGGGGTTGCGGTTGGGAGCCTGAGGCTGTCGCGGGTAGTTCCCGGGTTGAGAGCTCGGTGGCTTTGATTGAGTCCCACGGTTGGATGGCGTCGATTTCTTTCCAAAGCTGCTGCCCCTTTTGGCCCAGGTTGAGTCAGGGTTCAAAAGCGACATAACAAACAGGGACAAAAGTGCAACTTCTAACACCCGCCCCATTGTAGCCTTAAATGGAAGAAGAACAAAACAAATGGAAATTACAAAGTAAATATTGATTGCCATATTTTTGCTTCATTTTTCTACCAGACAAAGAACTATAAACAGATTTGTCTTATACCTATTGTTAACTAGAGGCCTGCTAGAGACAGCATCTCAGTTTCACCTCAGAGCTGATCATCGGCAGTAATTTCGAGGCTTTTGTTCCATTAAAAAAAAAAACACACGCAAATAAGCGACATCATCCAAAGCTGCTACAGACGTGTTATCGCTGAGTAACCAACCCATAACAATTTATTAATCGATCCATGTAATGAATAAAAAAAGATGAGGGTGTCGCTTTTTTTCCCAGTCATGAAAACAAACATAACACGATTAGCTTAAAACATCTTATATTTATTGCCGTTACTTACAATCAATTGATGCCTTGTGTGTGCCCGTCGACGCTAATTCAGTAAAACTGCGTTTGTTGTCCTCCGCCTATCTCCGTTGCGTCTGGTCTCAGGGTGGGTTTATAACGCTCGGGGTGCGCTTGTTTACCGTAAGAAGGTGCACCGTTCGGGGAAATTGGAACGAGGCGGGGACTCTGATTTGAACACCCTGAACTCTGGCCAAAGCCTTTCAATTGCGCGTTTATCTGTATTAACATTGGACATTTTTTTACATATTTATTTACATTGGTGAATCACGCAAACACACACACAGAAAAGAAAGTATTACTGACAGGCATTCTGGTGGAAAGCCGAGAAAATTGCATAAAAAAATCGGTCGTCCTGACAACCGTCATGTTACGTTAAAGGAATAGTACACCCAAAACATGATTAGCCTTCATTTTCTACTCACCCCCATGCTGAACAACACTCTGGAGTACTTTTTTGATATCTCAAATGCATCTGGAGATCTGGGAGGCTTCTTGCTGTCTGCTGACATTCAAATAATGGAGGTCTATGGTGTCCGAGACAGAAAGGTCCATAAAAGTCCACAAAAACGTGTCAATATTCCTCCATACTGCTCGTCCAATGTATTCCAAGTGTCCTGAGTGGGTAGCATCCAGAATTTACTCGAAACAAAGTCATTTAGAATGTTTTAAAATGCCAAATGCCAATCAGGATTTTTTGTTTTGTCATGCGGATAAAAATAAATAATAATAAAAAAACGGACGGACGGACAAGAAAGAAAGAAAGAAAGAAAGAAAGAAAGAAAGAAAGAAAGAAAGAAAGAAAGAAAGAAAGAAAGAAAGAAAGAAAGAAAGAAAGAAAGAAAGAAAGAAAGAAAGAAAGAAAGAAAGAAAGAAAGAAAGAAAGAAAGAAAGAAAGAAAGAAAGAACACTTAAACAACACAATATCACTTCCAACAAAATCGAACTTCTGTAAAATCAAACTGTCCAATTAGGAAGAAACATTGATTTGCAATCAATTTCACATACTGTTGTGCAAATGGAAAAATAAAAATTATTATCAATTAGCAAGACACACTCAATAAAGAAGTGGTTCTGCAGGTCGGGACCAATGCTTTCTGGCTGATGTTTTGAATGTTGGTGTCACAAAAGTGACCAACGAGACAGAGTCTGGAGACACTGCTGCCGGCTACATCCCTCAGCATGATTGTTTTGGCAATGGGTTAGTAATGGTGTGGGATGGCATTTCTTTGGAGGGCTGCACAGCCCTCCATGTGCTCGCCAGAGGTAGCATGACAGCTATTAGGTACCGAGATGGGATCCTCAGATCCCTCACGAGACCATCCGCCTCCCCATTAAGAGTCTGCCCAGCTGTAGTAGGGAGGTCACAGAGGCACGTGGAGGCCACACACAATATGCAGCCTAATTTTGACCTGTTATAAGGACATTACATCAAAGTTGGATCAACCTGTAGTGTGTTTTACCACTTTAGTTTTGTGTGATACTCCAAATCCAGGCCTTTGTTGGTTAATAAATTTGATTTCCATTGATGATTTGTGTGTGATTGAGATGATGGCAAATTCAACTTCATGCAGAGCAAAGTATTCAATTATATTCTTTAATGCATTCAGATCTAGGATGTGTTATTCAGAGGCGTAGCCAAAATTTTTTTATAAGGGTGGCCAGACAATAACTAATGTACACTGAGGGGTGGCTGATAGTGGATCGGCACCAGAACCTGACGGTCAAACTACACAGGAAAATTAACAAGCAAAACATCCATATTTTCTAAACAAAGACTAACTATACTTTCCTACAGCGTTTGCTAACAAAAAGACGGATATATTTAAACATCCGTAATTTCTAGATAAAAGGTATAGTGGATAAAACTCAGTTTTGAGTTCTGGGGCATAAATCAATCATCACTGTCATTACTTACGACTTGTATCAATAAACGGTCTGCATAAAGTTGATATTTACAAGCACTAATATCTACATAAATTGATTATTTGCTAAGTTTTTATTAAAATTAAGTATCTTTGATTTCACTGAAGACTCTTAGGCCCCGTCCACACGAAGCCGAACCCTGGCCTAAACGCACAAATTTTTCACCAAATCAGCCTCTCATCCATACGAAGCCGGCGTTTCGGGCGTCTGTAAACGATCTTTTTTTTATTCAGCCTTCAGAGTGGGAAGATTTTGAAACGCCGTTTTCGCGTTTCCATCTTTAAGCTCTAACCGCATTTTTTTTTTACACGCATGCGTCATAGCGTCGCCTCTAAACACGCATGCGCGACACAGTATCACAACAACAATGGCGGCGTACTGTGTTGAATGGTTGCTGCTAATGCTACTCACCCTGCTGTCGGGCTTACAACAGAATCTTCTTCTTCTGGAATATCTCCAGGAAGAACAGAGCAATATCGACGACATAGTTCAGCACCTGAATTTGACTGAACCACGAAAATGGACCCGCAGGGAAAACATGTATAAATATTAGTGCGCATGCCCAACATTTCGTCGCCTATTTTTGCTTTGGCACGACAGCGCCACTTACAGGCCTTGCATACATTTTGCAGCGTTTTCATGCATTCGTGTGGACGATCACATTTATTTTACGTCTCCGTCTTTACGACAAACGTTCTGGAAAATATTAGCTTTTCGTGTTCGTTTTGACTTCGTGTGGACAGGGCCCTAGATGACTTGCAGAGACATTTTTCTCTTTACCCCATAAAACACAAAATCTAGTTCTGAAAAGAGCATGATTTCTGTATTTATCATCTTTAATGTTAGTAGAGTAGTGTATAATTACCAGTAGAGTATAATTAACCACAAAAAAAATTAAATGTTTTGAATATTCCTTTTGAGAGTATTACTGCTGCCACTGACTGTATTAGAGGGGGAAAAAATGGTAGGGGTGGCCAATGATTGGCTAAGTGTGGCCATGGCCACCCCTGGCTCCCCATCTAGCTCCGCCCCTAGTGTTATTCCATTTAGTTTTGAGCGAGGAATCGCATGTCTTTCCCGTTCCTGATCTCATCTTTCTTCTCTTCTTGTGCGCATGCTCAGTGGGAGGAGCTACCTTACGCGCTCTGCCGCGACGTCACAGTTGTAAACACCCGTATTGTGATCTTGTAGCTTTGTGTCCGGTAGCAACATGTCGGTGAGGAGAGAGCCCAGCGGAGGAACTGTAGTGACTGAGAACGGCACACGGGGAACATAAACAACCCGCGGTATAGTCCAGGCTACGGGATAAAGTGCAGGAACACAGCCGGGGCGTCTTTATTGTCACTGCGGAGGGGCCTGTTGGAGGCTAATGGACGGATAAAACGGACAGCCGGTGATCCGAGGACAGGTGGTCGGTTTGATCGGAGGAAGAAGGGAACAGCGTGTTCGGGCTCTAATCGGGACTGAAACTCTCCTTGCCGGGGGATGTTATCTGTATTGTCCTATGGGAGACTGGTAGCCAGGGCTGTCCTTGGCGGACTTTCTCAGACAGACGGTCGGGACTATAGCCTGATCAGCGCCAGTTATGGCTTCGGTAAAGACTTTCGCAAAGGGATCCTGAAGAAAGGGATGTGCTACGGTGATGATGCCTGCTTCATAGCGCGGCACAGGGCCGCCGATGTTTTAGGTAAGGTGCATCGGACGTTGAGCTCCGTTATAAATTGTATTATTAATACAGCTCTGGTGACCTTCAGTGATCCAAACCCGCACGTGTACGGACAAAACGGATGAAAACAAAACACCCCCTCTCTTTTATGTCCCCCCTCCGCTTTTATAAAAGCTTGACAAAGTAATTTTATCTGATTAACAGGGTTTAACATATGCATACAAATATCCGATATTATCTACCTACTTTAAACAGAACGCAGTTATGTTCTGTTTGTGTGTATTTTGTTCTTCAAAACACCGAATGACCTTTCACCCAGATAGGCACTGACACGGTTACATGGCGATAAAGCGGAAAAGGGAATAAATCATATCAAAAGTTTTAAACAGACGGTTTTCCGCTTGAATATGACTGCAAGGTGCCCAATCAAGAAAATTGGGAATGAATACTACAATGTCTTGCAGAGGTCAGAATGGTTGAGAGTGGAGGCAGCCATATTGCTAGCCTTAGCTCGCTAGCCTTAGCTTGGTGCTTTTTGTCCTCACCGGTATGCCCAAAAGTGCATGCCTGCATAACACCGGTAACACTGACCAAATGCTCCGCAGGCAGACCACGTGGTTTCATTCAACACTTTGACATGTTTTATTCTAACGATTTGAAGTTATTGTTGCGGTGTACTAATCTCTATCTGGTTAAATCATGAGACAAAGGAAGAGTGGAGGAAATGTGGTCTAAATATGTTCTTTGTTAAAGACTGGTTCTTTGTTCTAGCCACAGAGGAGTGAATTTTAGGGAAATTCCAAGCTCCAGTCTAATTAGTTTAATCGCAATTCTCTAGCTGTAGTGTGTTAAAGTGTAAGCATATTTGTTGTTTTTCTTTTGTAATCCTTGCTGAGAGAGAGAATAGTTATTGTCAAGTTAAATTATTGCTTGTAGTGTAATGTGGTACCATGTATAGCTATTCTTCTTTAACTTTTATAGTTATCTTGTTTTAATATATATTTGCTAATCATTTGATAATTGGATTAATATCTGACACTATATCAAAGAAAAATAAATTCAGAGGCTAAAAAGGGCCTGTGACAGGGATGGAAGCTCACCTTAAAGCAAAAAAGCAATGGAAAGATTGAGATTAATGATTATTTGTGTTAGATTGGATAATTCAAGTTTTGATCATAGTCTTAACAGAAAGTCTGTGGCAAATCTTTGCATTGAGACACTCCCTATTTTTACAAGCTTTGGCTATTTTGCATGGTGAAAAGCTTTAACCTTTAGTGTACTGAACGCTTGTTCTTGGGGAGGAAAATTACAAACCAGACTAATTTTCTTTAACTTTATTTAATCACAAATTTTCTCTAAATCATTAAGGTTTGTGGGTTTTAAAAGGCAATGTGTGAAACAAATAAGGGGATATGCAGACAATAAAGAAAAGGATTGGCCTTAAAATTTTATTTAACTTTAAATCCAACTTTCCTTTTATTTTTTGTATCCATAAGTTTTTTTCTTTTCTTATATATAAGCTCCTATTTTAATTAAGTTTTATTCTCCTCAACTATTTGTGGCATTTATACAACTCCATTCTACTTTTTTTCTTTTATGTGCTGCACTTGGAATTGTCCGTGGAAATGTGATTAGTAAATAAATGTATCTTGCTAAGAGATGCTTCAATGGGGCTTTAAAATGCATTTTTACTAAAATTGTTAATTATGGGGGTTTGAAAAAACAAGCCTAAATGGGGGGGTGCATATTAATGAATCTCCTTTTCTTATTTCTAGGTGTAGCAGATGGTGTAGGTGGATGGCGGGATTACGGCGTTGACCCATCTCAGTTCTCTGCCACCTTGATGAGAACCTGTGAGCGATTGGTGAAGGAGGGACGCTTCACTCCCACTAATCCGGTGGGGATTCTCACCTCTGGATATTATGAGCTGTTACAGAACAAAGTTCCTCTGCTAGGTGCGTACACACATGAGAAGAAACATCTGAACAGTCTGTACACCGGGGATAGTTGTGCAGTAATCTGTGGCGTGAGCTGAACTTAAATAGCTGCAGTATGAGTCAGACTGTTGCAGTGCTTTCAAGTGGGATGCTTAATGTTTACAATAAATGGAAACTACAGTAAATGTTGAAGGAGTGTTTACTGATGTTTTGTTGCAGAACTTCAAGTGTAGCTTGTGTATTTGTCAATATTTATTTTGTCTGTTGTTGATTTATGCTTAAATTAAAGTAATTGCAAATGGCTTGTTTGTTATGCTGACAATTTTTTTTTGGGGGGGGGGGGGATAATATTTTTCTATTATACAAACATGCATATGTTGCTCCCAGCCAGGTCCTAAATGGGTCATTTATCCGTCTGTTACTGATAAGACTGAGTGGTTGTAAAGATTTTAAATGCAGGGCCGGGTCAAACGTGTGACCAAGGCCACATTTCTTTTGAGGCTGCTGTGTCACATTTCATCCAGTGGCTGCTGTGACATTTATAAAAGGCTCTAATTATATTTTAGGAACCTGTCAAAAGGTTAGTACTCTACCCTCTGTGCCCAAGGTTAGTGGGATCTGGGAGAGGAGGGCATAGCCTGCTGCAATTTTTCCTTTCCCTTCCATTAGATAATAGTAACATTTGGCACATTTACAGTAACAGATTTCTTTAATCTTGTTTTATAAATGCTCTGTTTACATATTTCTACTCTTGTGTTTATATAGGAAGCAGCACTGCCTGCATTGTTGTTCTGGATCGAAGGAGTCACCAGCTACACACGTGTAACCTTGGAGACTCGGGCTTCCTTGTGGTGCGGGGCGGAGAGGTGGTCCATCGTTCAGATGAGCAACAGCACTATTTCAACACACCTTTCCAGCTATCAATCGCTCCTCCTGGAGCCGAGGGAGTTGTGCTCAGTGACAGGTCAGTAGATTGCTGTTAAATGCTCGCAATATGCTCACAAACTATCATGGATTTGGTGCAATTTGTAGCTCACAACATTTTATTACAAAGATCTGAACATAAGTGCTTTGGTTTTAAACCCATGTTCCTCTGATCCAAAATAGAATCCAATAAAATCAATTGTAACCTTTCGTTACATTGGGTTCACCTGTGTAACTGAATTGATTAGGAATCTGATCCTTCTGATCTGATCGATGTTGAAGAAGGGCAGAAATCTTAATCTCTAGATGGACAAAGCTGTTGGAGACTAGGGTTGTTATATTACCAAAAATGTAAAACTAAATGACGATATTAGAAAAATACCTATAACATTTTCAGTAACATAGCACTTAATTATTATTTTATTTTATTTTTTTGTAAAGTGCAAATAAATAACTGTTCAAGACACTTGTTATACCTCTTTATATTTTATTATGCATTAACTACCAGCTAGTCTGAAGACTAGTGAAAGTTGGCTTAGTTACTCGCTCTTTACTGGATGCTCCAATAACTCCGCTCAGACATCTTCCAGGGACAGCATGACACTCTTAATGTTCAAACCTTGGTAATGCACAATTTGCTGTGTATTATGTGGTCCAGTTTGGCCTTCTAGGAGCAGATGCACTTTAATCACCTTCAGCATTTTTTTTTCTACTTTACTCCATACAGGAAAGTGTTGGAAGTAATTAAAACTGTTGTCTTCAGGCTTCTCTTTTCAAATTTGACTTATTTTTATCCTTTGATGTTTCGTTCTAGTCCTGAAGCTGCAGACAGCTCATCCTTCGATGTCCAGCTTGGTGACATCATCTTAACGGCGACAGACGGCCTCTTTGACAACATGCCAGACTACATGATTCTACAGGAGCTAAAAAAACTCAAGGTATGGGTCTTGAAAGCATCCTACTTTTTACGAATCAACGAATCCTATGTGGGTTTTAACACTTCTAATTTTTTTTTTCTCCAGACCTCCAACTACGATAGTGTACTGCAGACTGCACAGAGTATCGCAAAGCAAGCTCATGACCTTGCCTACGATCCAAATTATATGTCTCCTTTTGCACAGTTTGCCTGTGACAATGGTCTGAATGTAAGAGGTAAGTAACGGGCAAGTTGACGAAGAAAGCTATGGATGTTTAAGATTAAACTCTAAATGGGAGGATTTTAATTTTTTTTCTGTCTCTGCAGGAGGAAAACCAGATGATATAACGGTGCTGTTGTCTATAGTGGCTGAGTATACGGACTAGAAGTGTGTGTGTGCTGCTCTTTGATCCTTCCTTGCTGCCTGCCTGAGTCTTCCACCTGCAGCATCCCATCATGCACTCCAGGCTGACCGGGGCAGACCAACCGACATGACTAGCACTCCTTACGGCGTGGCTGAATTCCTCGTTTTTCTTTTTGTCCTCCGCAGGTTTTTTATGCTTGAGCGGCATTTAGGCGGGAGGCAGCTAGGATGTATTCATGTTGATCATGACTTAGCTGGGGCTGAAATCACTCCCAGTGTCTCGCAGAGCGTCATCGGGCAAACTATAGGCATTTGAAGCAAGCAGATGGGGGGGAGTACTTGAGAGTAACCCTTATGTTCAAAGAAATGTGAAATTTTTATGGAGTAAGCCATGAATTCGGATACATTTGTTGACACATTTATCATTGCTGTCCATCTTCTATTTGATTCTTTTCATCCATGTCGTTTGAACTAAGCACATATTTTAGCCTGAGGGTGCTTTTGTTGGAAATTGTCGATGAGCAAGATGTTAGAGTTGGGTTTTAGTGCCTCAGGGTTGGGATTGTCAAAGGAACCTGTAAAGCGAAAGTGTTTAAATGTTGAAGGAAGGTTAATTGGGTGTTTTCACAAAGCTGAGGGAGCTGTTGATGCGCACATCCTGATAGTTTGTAAATATTATTTTGTTTTGTTTTTAGAAAATGTTTTTTTTTTCTGGGAAAAATTATGAAACAGAGCTGTTTGTGTGTGAGAAACTCATTCATAAAACCATTTCTTTGTCTAGATGATTATCTTCAACTTAATTGAATCACTTCCACTCTTGCTGTCATGAACAATATATTTGCAAGGATTATGGCAAGTAGTTTGTCTATTTTGTTTGATGTCCTTGAGATTGATCATGTTTTTGCCAACAAATTCATTGGACTAGTAATGCAAAAGTTGCAACTAATAGATGACTACGCCTAACTAGTATATGTATTACCATCTAACTAGTTGTTGAAGACCCATATGTTTTAACTGGCTAACATGAATTTGTCTGAACAAAATCTTACTAGATAGCTGTACTTTTAGCACAAAAGTCAAATCTTGTAGACTTGTTGTACCTGTCAGTGAAGAAACCAAACTAATAAATGCCAAAATATTCATCTAGTGGATTTAAAACAATGAATTAAACCTCAGCATTTTAACAAATGTTAAGGATTTGGTCCTTCTAGTTAGCCAAAGTGCTGCTCAGCACAGTAGTTCCATTTAGAAAGGCATTTTGCCACATTAATAGATGAGTAGAAAGAACTAGTAATACTAGTTTACTGATCACCTTTGATAAAATTCTTAACTTTGCTAAACACATTCTGGCCTCTACCATTTACTATGGAAAGTGCAAACTAGGAAACATTGGTGTTTTTAGGCGGCAGCCAAAAGTTCCTGACCCCTTTGCTTAAAAAAAACGTATACCGTAATGCTAAAAAAATCTTAAACAAATTTATCTTAGATTAAACATATTTTCCTTTGATTTGAGCAGGTCAGCAAGACGATTTAGGAATGGAATAAGATTATTTAAATCAAAGAACTGCATTATTTTATTTCAAGTAAATCATATGCAAATAATATCTTAAAAGGAGAATACCTTATTTACCTGCTCAAATTAAGGGCAAATGGACTGAATTTCAAGAAACTTTTACTTATATCATGGTTCTTCACTTGGGCTAGTTTCAGTCATATTAAGATTATAGCTATTATTGATTAGATCAGGCGTCTCCAAACTAGGGTTTGTGGCTCACTTAGTAAACTAAAAAAATATAGTGTTTCATCGCCCCACTTTTTTTTTTGTGTCCCTGGCCCAACCCTACCCTCCCTGGTAAATTTAGTCTAGTTCCACAACATTCATAACCTTATTTGAACAAGCAATCCTATTGTAACATGAGGTCCCATTTGACAGCTGTTTAAACATACTGATGAGCACACAGAAGGGTGTCTTCTGGTCCAGTAGGTAGACAGGTTTTTCCAACACCAACAAGTCAAAGAATATGGCAAGGCATTTGCTCTAATACTGAAAGAATCCTATTAGTTGGGACTTTTGCTTTACTGGGGTCGACTTCATTGTAGCCGCACACTAGCTGGTAAAAATGATGGCTGACATCAAGGTTGTCAATGTTTTATTTTTTATATATATATATATATATATACACACATATATACACTAACTACTTGACATACCCCTTTTCGTCCACTGTATGGTTGGAGTGATGTTAAAATATGAGTATGATGTGTGAAAAGTCTTGAATGTTAATAGTTGTGTGAAAATTCTGGGAATGTTTGTAGTTGCAATGATGGGTCAGAAGTAAATAAAATGCAGAAATATTTTTGTAGCTTTTCGGAAAAATGTGCAGGTTTTTATTTTTTTCTTGCATATCTACGTAGTACTTTTTTTTTTTTTTTTTTTGGTAACTTAATTTGTCTTAAAAACATGTTGTTTTTTTCTCCTTTTTTACACGTAGTTCCATTGGCTTTATCATTCCGACGATTTAATGCTGAGGGTATGACGTGAAGCCCTAAAAGCATCAAGTTCTTTTAGAACCCTACGTATTTAATTTTCTTATTCTAACAGAAAATCATCAAGCTCAGAAACTGGTATTTCATCACACTTACCCATAGATTCTTTAGTAAATTGACACCAGCATCCCCATACGCTGTGTGAAAAGTGAAACTACAGAATTTTCCCTCATAAAGAAAGCACTGTAAAAACATGTAAGGTGCTTTACTCTTAACACTGATTCACTTTGCAGCCTCTGTATTATTGTAAAATCTGGGAATAAATGCATACACTGGATTTATTATCAACACATAATGCACTACCCAAAACTCAGCAGGCCATTTTTTAAAGCATGTCCACCAAAGATCACCTCTACATCACTGCTTTGTTCATGCAGCAACACTAGTGGATAGCAGTGCTCAGAAGTGTGCAGCATCTTTAACAGGAAGGGTTTAAAGGATTGTGGGTGAAGAAAAGTTGCTGCACATGTTTGAGACTTTTGTTTGTGTGTTTAATGTGACTGGATAGTTGTAAGTAAGACAAGCAACCAAAAAAGGAAAGCCATATTGCCCGTTAAGATGCACTGCAACAACTGGGGATAATGATATTGGTACTTTGCTGGTGCGGTTGCAGCAGATTTATTTTTATGTGCTATGCATTGGAGATTAATTAGTTTTTTTTTGTGTGTTTTTGAGGGAGCAGTAGAACAATCTCGTTTTGAGGTAACCGGCCCCTATATCTCATGACAAAACAAAAGCGGTTATTTGAATATATCTTCCTGTTGCCTGCCTGGCACTTTTTTTGTTTCTCTAATGCTGCCAGGACAATTTTACTCATTTTCACATAATAAAAGGTGAGCCCAGTTACAGCCTTAAAAGCTCGATCTGTAAATCATGAGGCCTTTCCTGTCATTGCAAGCTTGTCTTGTGTCTGCTGGTGTCTTTTTCCCCCCAGTGTTTTTAATATAAAGTGTCCCCCACCCTTCCCTTCTGCCCCTTGTCTTTATCTGATGCTAAGCTGTTCTCAAAGGTGCTTCTGCAGTCTGACGGTATGAGTCTGTTTTTTAGCAAGAGTGTGAACGATGCGCCTAGAGGTCTACAGTATAATAATGCAGGTCTAATATATGTAAATACTGGTATGTTTTAAAATATGTACAATATTTAAATAAAGAATCTAGTATTTATACTAAAAATGTGGTGTTGTTTTTCTCTAAAGCTGTGTTTATGCTCTTTGTGAATATATGGAGGGCCTCTGATGTGATTAATGTCATGAATTTCAGGTAAATTATAAATCTTGAGTGTTCTCTTTATTTTTTTACTGGGACAAACTTATATACAGCTTAGAAAATAAAGGGAATGCATGAACAATCATTTAATCCATGTCTTGTCCAGCTGTTGTATGGAAGTCATGCACAATATCCATTTTGACCTGTTTTAATGACATTACATCAAAGTTGGTTCAGCCTGTAGAGCTTTTTCCACTTTCATTTTGTGCGACTCCAAATCCAGGCCTCCAATGGTTAATAGATTTCCATTGATAATTTTTTTTTGTGTGTGTGAATTTGTTTTCAGCACATTCACCTTTTTACAGGACAAAGTAGGAATAGCAGTAGATTATTTATTATATAATGCGTTATTTGAGTGTTTCTTTTTTTCCTGGATGTGCTGTTTTGTTTTTGTTTTTTCCAATTTCTCTCTTAAAATCTGAATAAAGGTCCTGCCTGCTACAATTACCAAGGTACATTACCTTGCTGCAGGGTAGGATTAGTTTTTAAATTTCAGGACATGCAATATAACTCACACCCCCCTTTATGTATCTGCCAACAAGTTTCCTATGGTAAACCGGCTTTTGTGTTTTTAGGCCACTGTTTATACAATTTAGCAGCATGCTTTAACTCACTAAGAAGACAAATTTGTTTTTAGTCTTTAACTTTGCTTGATTTCTCTTATTACTTTAGTATTTCCACATAATATTGGTACTTAAAGATGCCATCTAGTCTACCAGTCTCTTCTGTAGCAAAATACCCACATGTCATGATGCTCCAGAAATTGTCTCTGCAAAAGTAGAGAAATGCAGCAATATCTGGGATACAGGTCTCATTTCTTTACTGAAACATAAATTAGTCTATTCTCTATAACAATGAGCAGATGAGCGTGACACCCTCAGGCAGCTGGAAGTTGTTCCAAATTGATCAACCAGAATTTTGCTCCTGATCATTTGGCTGAGTTATTTATTTTTTTATTTAGGTTATTTCATTATTAGTTATCCACAGAAAAAAGAAACATAGCAAACACTTACACAAATCTACATTCAGTGAGCCACAATGTTGGGGTTTCAGACTCCTGATTAAACAGATAAACTGTGATCCCTTCAGCTAAAGCTTAAAGCTGACCCTAATTTCTAATTGTTAAAAGTGAATTGAAAAGGTGAAACATTAAATTAGACCAATAGATGAATCAGTTCTTTGCTGTCAGTGCATATCACAAGAAATCTAGTATTGAAAACTGATCTGAATATGTTACAATTCCTTAAATCAGTGTATTTACACCTAAATTGATATTCTAAATAAAATGATTTGCCAAGTTAAGTATTTTTGTCCTTAAAAAATTATTGTATATTATTTACTTCAAATAATAGTTTCTTTTTTGTTATTTAAAATCAAAGCATTCTTATTCCATTAATGTCTTACCTACTGGCCTTGATCAAGATAAATTACCTTAATATTTTTGAAATACGTATATTTTATTATTTGCAGTGTATTGCTGTAAATACAGTGTTTTTCAGGGAAACGATTGCCAAATAAAAAACTATTTTTCAGTAATATGAAGGAAATTACTGGTGCAAATCAGATCCAGACAGTAAGCTGCCATACACTTGCTTCACCAGTAGGTGGCAGTCGGGAACACGGGATGCCATGGATGTTTTGTTTGCGAACCTGCCCCTGATCCTGGCTGCCAGTTTCTCTTCCTTGTAGCCCTGAGCTAAGCTGCATTCTTGCTGACAGAAGTACTTCTCAGTAGGAAAGTGTCAGCTGAGGGTTCTGTGACATTAGCATAACTTTAGAGTTAGCATTTATAACCGAGCTAAATTATTTTTTTTGGTGGTTGGATTTGAATCAATCGGGGGTTGATTTTTGTTGCAATTATCTTCCATTTTGGACCAAATAGCCGCTTTAAATATATATATATATATATCTTCAAACGTTTTTGTGTTGTCGTTGGTATGCTAGTATTTAAGCTAGCTGCGTCCCGTAGCAGTTAGCCAGAGCAGTTGGAACCTGAATGGAGAGCTTTAAACTTATCTGAGTTTTTAGATCACTTCCTAGTTAAATGCCGCCTAAATGGCAAAAACGGAGCAGGGAAATGGACTGGAACTCCATGACAACACAGAGAAGCTGACGGATAGCAAAGGGAAGGGTGAATCAAATGGAATGGACCCGGAGGTAAACGGCTCCATCCCCGAAGACAGGCAGGTGGACAAGTATGGCTTCAGTGGAGGAACTCAGCAGGAACTGTAAGTACCGTTTCTTTAGGATTTACAGCTAAATCTTAAATAAAGAAGACCAATATCGACAAAAGGATTCAATCTAATGTAAGGATTAAATATGGACCTTTTCAATCATCAGTGCTATTATATCCCTTCCTTTGTTAGCTTCATGTTCAAACAGAAAGGTGACCAAACATTTGGTCCTTACAAAAGTTAAACTCCATTTAACTGGAACATAAAAACCAGCTCCTAAAGAAAAAAAGGGCAACCTGGCAGCCATATTGATTTAATTCATTTTAGTTTATTTCTATAACGCCAATTCAAACACACGTCATCTCAAGGCACTTTACAGTTCATCAGATCATACAGTCAAATTGATTCAAAGTTTTCTATGAAAGGAAATACAGTTGATTTCATCGACTCATTGACTCTGATGCAATCCCTCACACTAAGCATGCTTGTAGCGACAGTGGAGAGGAAAAACTCCCTTTTAACAGGAAGAAACCTCCAGCAGAACCAGGCTCAGTGTGGGCAGCCATCTGCTGAGGCCAACTGGGATTCAAGGAGACAGAAGCAGAGATACAAAAAGCAGCTGTAAAAGGCGGCCCCGTCCAGGAAACACACAGCCAGCCAGACGAGCTCTTAGCCAGCTCCCATGTTAGAGGATGAAGAGTGCACATCCAGCCAGTCACAGTCAGAGAAACAGGGATACACTGGAAAACAGGCCGATCTCCAACATCTATAAACAAAGGTGTTGATGGCAGGAAGAACAGCCTATATTTCTCTCCAGGATGGAGTCACAGCCAAACAGGAACAGACGAGGTGAAGCTACTATGAGAAAAAGCAGAGAGAGCGTAATGTTAGAGATTAAACTAACAGATTCTGCAGAGCGGGAGAATAGAGATAGACTGATGAAATGGGGGTCCCTATGTCCTCCAGAAGTCTAAGCCTATAGCAGCATAACTATAGAGATAGCGCAGGATAACCGGAGCTATCTCTAACTATAAGCTTTATCTAAAAGGAAAGTTTTAAGCCTAACCTTAAAAGTAGACAGGGTGTCTGCCTCAAGGACTAAAACTGGTATTTGGTTCCATAGGAGAGGAGTCTGATAACTAAAAGATCTGCCTCCCATTCTATCTTCAGAAATTCTGGAATTTCTAAATCCTAAATGTGCCGTCTTAAACATAATACCAATACGTGATTGGCCGACTTGTTTTAGGTTGGTTTTAGACTAGGGCTGTGGGGAAAAATCGATTTTGAGGGATGAGGGAACATTGGCTCACCCTGCACAGCGACGTTGCACCATTTCTATAATTGAGGCAGTCACAGTAGAAGATGTTGGCTGACTCAAACCCCAAACAACACAATTACTGATGAACATATACAGAACTTGCTTTTTTATCTATACATTTCATTTTGATAGCTGGGTAAAATATCGCAGTATATAGTGATATTGCAATATTATGGTGATGTCGTATTGGGACACAAGTATCGTGACACACATCGTATCGCAAAACACATACCGATACTCACCCCCTAGTCTAGACCATTTAAAGCAGGATGTGTTTGGGATATCACAAACACATTGAGTCCCTTTGCACTGTCTTTCTAGTTAGCAGAGTGCAGTCAGGTGCGGCCCATACTCCTTGGAAATGTAAACCCAAACATCATAGGATTGTTGAGCAGTCTGCTTTACAGCCAGCTGATAGTTCGCAGTCACTTTTATAGTCAGGTTTGGTTAAAGCTGCTTGTCCATGGAAAATCATTCAGCAATGCTTAGTTCTTAACATAACCCAGGTTCCACATGTTGGAGATCTGCAGGCTATTCTGTATACTCCACTGCACAAACACTCCCCATTCCCTGACCCAGATCTGGGATTTAACAGGGTTTCCCACTTTACTGGTGACTTGCTTTGGATCCCAATCACCTCCACTGCATTAAAATACCACTATTGCTTGACAGTGAGTTTAGTATCAAAACTCTGTCACTTAACTCAGATAAGTGACCCATTCTTTCACAAATGTTTTTAGAGACACACAGCATGCCTGAATGTATATTGATACTGAATTGACTTGTGATCTTCCACTTGTCTAAACACTCATGCAGCATTTAATCATTTATCAACATATTTGTTAAGAAATAAAAAAATTTGAAAGCATTTTCATTTTTTAAAATAGTAGGCAATTACTCCTATTATTTTATTTATTTAAATAAACTTCTGTTATTGAATAGAAAATGGAAGGAGGACACATTTTTTTCATACCGCCTTAAGAAAGCACAGGAAATATGATTAAATCTATATTTAGACTGAACATCGTGAAAGATCCTCCCTCTTTATGCTCAAACAATAGAGGATAATAACTCAGGGCGGAGTATTTCCCTTTGATTTGCTTGTTTGGTTGATTTCTCCCTTAGTGTTCATGCAAACTAGTGGGAGCCCTCTTCAGCTTTCAGTTTTCATGTTTTTTGCATGAAACTTTTATCCTGACATTCTTGCAAGAACATTTCAGACAAGATAAGAGTTTCCTCGTCTTGCTTTCTATCAAAACTGGTTTATGGCATCCACCATCATAAAAACATGGCTTGGAAATTTGCTTATAAACTAGATATTGACCTGAAGTTAGAAAACGATCAAGAATAAACCCACTTTGGGATTTAATCGGCATCACAATATTCAGTACTTTTTTTTGACAGGACCAAAGAGTTTGATCATGTATATTGTAAGAATGGCTGAAATATTTGTATTGGTTGGTTTCCATGCAACAGTCTTTTACACCTGGTCTATAAAATCTAGATAGAGTTTAAATCGGGGCTTTAAAAATACGATTTTACAAGCTGAGGAGGCAGTCCTCCTCTTACTACATCTTCCATTAATTTTGTGCAATGAACAAGCAGTGACACCCCCGCAGCACTATGCTACCACCACCATGCTAGACAGTAGTACAAGTTCTTGAATTTTAACCTTATGTCAGGGAAATGTGTCTTCTGTGGAAAAACAATGGGTAAATTAATAAATAAAAAAAGGCCATCCATGCTCTTCAGGAGTTTAAAAAAATTCTAATTAGATCCATGTGTTTTTTAATGAACGTGCATTTTTGTGTTTGTACTGCTGCAAAAAGGAGATGCCGTTGTGTCTAAGGCCGATGAGCTGAATTGGAGGAAAGGTTCCCATCAGCTTCCTGTTTTCCCTCCACTTCACCCCAATGGCTTTCCCTGACGCTGGCTTCCTGCATGTTAGAGGAAGCGCTCCCGCTCTGCTGACGGGATTCTCCTCGTGAATCAGCTGGAGACGACAGTGAAGCTTTTACCCATTTGTCTGAACACTGTTTCTGTGTTTTCTGTCTCCTCAGTGCAGAAGAAGTCCCCATTGCGGTGTTGAGGCAACGCGAAGCTAAATGGCTGGAGATGCTGAACAGTTGGGACAAGTGGATGTCTAAAAAACACAGCAAGGTCTGCTGCAGAAAGCACAGAGATTAAAATAAATTCTTGCTTAGTAGTTTCATTGCACTGATTTAATGTGTTTTCATTGGATAAAAGGTGAAGGAGCGCTGTCAGAAGGGGATCCCTCCTTCCTTGCGAGGCCGAGCCTGGCTCTACCTCACAGGGGCCAAAGTAAAAAGGGAGCAAAATAAGGGAAGGTTTGAGGTCAGTAGGAGATTTATGCTCCTCTTTTACAACATTTATTAATCATCTGGGCAGTATCCACATCAGTTTGCTTCACACAGGGCCAGCTTACTGGTTGCCATGTCAGCTGGAAAAGTCAATATCATGAGAAACTGCAGCAGCTCCTCACGTTTAAGCTTAATGTTTGGATTTGCTGCAATCATCATAATCTCCTTTATTTTTTATAGGGGCACATTTGAGCTTGTTTATAAATGTAGCAGGGTAAATGTTGCAACAGCTGAGCGAGTGGATATATTTTAGGAACTGGACAACCAACCAGGAGATCCTAAATGGGTTGACGTCATTGAGAGGGATCTTCATCGACAGTTTCCTTTTCACGAAATGTTTGCAGCCAGAGGAGGCCATGGGTAAGTAACTATCCTTTGTATAAATTCTGTGCAACCTACAAGTCTTCATACCCCTGGAACATTTTCAAATCTTATGGGTTTTTTTTTTAAAGTTTCACATGACTGACCATTGTAAAGTAGGAGCTCATTGTGTTAAAAGTTGTTTGATTTAATTTTCAAGTCTTGCCATAGTTTCTTTTTTTGATTGAATCGTAGGTGGGTGTTTAGGATCTCACTTTTGGAAGTTGGGTTTAGCTTTGTCCGTGTTCCTATTGACTCAGCAGCTTCACTATCTTGTCTGTAGAAAAGCCTTCCCACATCATGTTGTTGCCACCACCATGTTTTTCTTTTGCCACATGTTTTCTGTGGATCCTAGATGTCTCATAGCAGAAAAAAAATCCTATTTAGAAGTATCGAAGGATGAACAAAGCTTGCAAAGAACTTGTCTTGTTTTATGCAGGCAGCAGGATCTGTTTCGCGTCCTGAAAGCGTACACTCTCCATCGACCAGATGAAGGTTATTGTCAGGCTCAGGCTCCTGTTGCTGCTGTTCTCCTGATGCACATGCCAGCTGAGGTCAGCATGTTCTGCTCTTCTATGTCATCTTCAGATCATTTTGTTTGTTTTAATGCATTATGTCTATACATTATGAACCAGCATGAATCTGCTTAAAATGTTTGCTTTGATTAAAACATAACTATAAATTCTTTTTTTCTTTTTTAGGATGCCTTTTGGGTTCTTGTCCAGATCTGTGAAAAATACCTTCCTGGATACTACAGCACAGGACTAGTATGTCTTCAAACCACTTGGGGGAGCAGCAGGGTGTCACCTGATTGTCCCATGCTCAGCTTGTCAATCATTGCCTAGCTGAGATCTAATGATCAACAAAGAGGTGTCCGCCTATTAGCAGGAATATTTAGTCTTGTACTAAAATCAAACGTTTTTAGAGGTTTTAGATATATTAAAGGTTTTTCCAGAGCTTGTCCGCTAAATGCTTCCAATTCAGAGCAACTGTCTTACTGCTGGCTGGTACAGGTTTAAGACGTGGTGCAAGACTTGTCAAGCGAGTGTCTCTGTGTGGATACTGATAAGCTAACAACCCAATAACTCAAGGTGGTGACTGGGCCAAGGACGGGATAAGCAGACAATCAGATTAGGTGAAGACAGAGAACCCTTTTCTGTTCACTGGCTCACTGCCGTTCCCCGTCTTCTCCACAGGAGGCGATCCAGCTGGATGGGGAGATCCTGAACGCTCTGCTGCGGCGGGTGTCGGCTCCGGCTCACCGCCACTTAAAGAAACATAAACTGGAGCCCATCCTCTATATGACGGAGTGGTTCATGTGTGCCTTTTCTCGGACTCTGCCCTGGTCCTCTGTGCTGCGCGTGTGGGACATGTTCCTCTGTGAGGGTGAGCAGCTTCTGGAAATGATCCCTTTTGTTTAAAATGAAAGAACTTTAATGCTCTGTTTTCCTGGGAGTAATTATGTCCCATTTGCTGCCACTCCCTCTGAGCATTGGTTTGTATAAGCAACAAATGTCAATTATCAAACAAATCAAAAACTGACTAAAGTCACATTCATAGCTTGTGAAATTTAACATATTTGACTTTAGTGTTCTCTAAACGTTATTGGTTTTAGATTGTTTTCCTCGACTCCAATATTTTTGTCCATCCAACCCCATCCCTGAAAAAAACATTGTCCCATTAAAAGAGAAACCTATTTTTCCCATTTCTTTAGATATACAGGAAAAAATACTAAATTTTTGCTGCAAATGAAAAAAAATTAGAATGTGAATGAAGTCTTTGTATATTTTAGAAGATGGATCATTTTGATTATATGATCATATTTTTATATCTGTTCATCTGTAGATTCAGCAGCTGTACTTAAGCATTTTAACCTGGTGACTTGTTACAGTCGCCTTAAAATAAAATAATCTGAACCAAAATGTACATGTGCTCTATAAACACATTGATTAAAAAGAACTATGCTCCAAAGAAAAGCTACTGTTAGACCCTGGGAATTCTCCTTTTTAGATGTTTTTAAGCTGATATTTCCTCTCAGTTTGAAGAATATATTTATTTTTGTTTTATTCTACATGTAAATGAGGGATTGCTGTAAAATAAAGGAATACATAAAATAATTTAATAACCTTAGGGGAAAAAAGAGAAATAAACAGTTTAATACAAATAATAACAGGCCTCATCAGTGTATAGCCAACTATATGGTTGATTTATTTTTTCTTTATAAGCATGCAATAAAAACAGCAGGAAGATTCTGTATCCATCCTTCCCATTTGATATTTTAAATAGTTTTCTGCATCTTATTATAAAACAGGTTGTCAAGCCAAAAAGCTAGCATTAGATCTAGAGAACGCTAGCTCCCCAAACCCTTGAATTTGCTCTGGAATTTCCAAAACACTGCCAGCTCATAGAGGATAAGACCTCCCTGCTGCACAACGCTCACCCTTCCCGTTATCTATTAAAACTGTAGGTCTCTCTAAATTTTATGCAGTTTTAATGAACGACAGACATTTTCCTAAGTGTTATAAGAAATTCAGTTTCCTTTCTTAACTTCTAAATAACTTTCTAAAATAACTGTAGTTGAATCTTCCTCCTGCAATATTATTTTCCTTTTCCTTTTTTTAATGCATAATCTATCTAAATTGTCATTCTATGTTATATGTTAAGTTATATGTTTCCATACCTACATATACAGAGATCTCTTACTTGTTTTTATCCCATACTGGTGTCAGCTGCATGTTCTGATTGGTTCTGTGCTCTCAGGAGTGAAGATCCTCTTCAGAGTCGGCCTGGTTCTCCTAAAATGCATGTTGGGAACACAAGAAAAATTGAAGTCCTGCCAAGGGTTATATGAAACAATGGAACTGCTGAAAAAGATCAGCCCACAGTACATGCGCGAAAGCTTTCTGGTGCAGGAGGTAAGGGAAATCTGTGGTAGTTTTTTCACTTGTTTCATTGCACTCTTTCTGAAGCTGAAACACTTCCTTCATCTGCATGTTTCAGATCATAGAGCTACCAGTGTCTGAGAAGGACATTGAGAAGGAACACCAAGCTCAGCTCCGGCGCTGGAAGGAGACTCACGGAGATCTAAACTGCAAGTCCCCTCCCAGGATGCACGGCGCTAAGGCCATCATGGCTGCAGAGCCACCAAGCCGACAGGAGCTGAGACAGAGACCGACCATCATTGTAGAGTCTCCTTTAGAATCAAAAACAGATGTGGTGTCAGAAGCAAATGGCAAGACAAAGACTACAAAGGAAAACGGGCATACAGCTGTCCTCCCTACTGAGACCGTTAATCCCGGTGATCCCTCCCCCGCCCTTCAATCCTTGACCATCCAGGGGTCCAAAGAGAGTCTGAGCAGCGACGATCTGGACACGTATCTTTAAAGGCGAGGTTTTCACCAATTTATAACATTAATCATTTCAAACGGTTCTGTTTGAACACCAGCACTCATCAGATTTTAAAGCTACAATAAACCGAGCTTTGCAGCAGAAGAAAGTTTAGTCCTCTCTTTCAAGTCTCTTAATAGATTCCTCTAAAACCCCTTTCCTACTAGCAGAAAAACGCGTTTAAACTGCGGAACAATCGTCTTTTATTGGCAGTGGGGACAGCTCACTGACAGGTTTGACAGAGTGGTGTACTGAGGGATCACCAGAACCGGGTTGACCCGCTAAATTACGTGACACCATTGAACACACCGCGCCAACAAAGTCTGATCTAACAAGCCGAAACAACCCTGTTTACATTCCATAAACATGGCGCAGCACTGGTGAGATGGACTCGGAAAGATATAGACCAAAACAATAAAGCATACTTACTACGCCCTGGCTTCCTTACATGTTGCTGTCAACTGTTTACTTTCTTAATTTCTGTCATGCTGCTCCCTAGATTCATCCAGTAAACTTCTAAAAATCGTTTAAATCTCAGGTAGTTTTCTGGAATTTGGCAGACATGTGAGATTTATTGACATTTTTTTTATTTGTAATGAGAATATTGATCCATGTAAGCTTAGGGAACAAGGTTTTTAACTTGTATGAGCAATCATTTTTAGATATGTCACTGACGGGCCGTTCATGGTGATTGGTGTTCATACAATCTAGCTTAAATTATCCTAATCGATGGGAGGATCCTTTTCATTTCTTCTATTTTGCTCAAATTTGTGACTTTATCTCAGACATTCACACTAACTCACAGAAAGCTTTCAAGTTTTCTGCTCTGCACATTTTACTCATGCTAATGATCTACTGATCCTCAGGTCCACAAGGGGGCACCCTGATGCTGTTTTTGAGCTATAGCAGTTGGGTGCATCATGGGGGGGGATTTTTTTTTTTCAATATACCAAAGATTTATTGTTTATTCTTTGTATATCAAGCTAATAACAGATATTTGACAGAACGGGTTGGCTGTTTGAGAAGAGTTTATATTTATGTGTTAAGAGGATATGAAATGTATAAGAATGTTGAGTTTTCTTTAAGGTTTATGGTTCCCCTTAATTTAAAATTGTACATTTTTTTATGAGATTCTAAAAAGAAGAATTGATGAAAAAAAATCTTTTTTTCAATGGTAGAATTTATATGATTTGTTGAATGTAATCTGCAACATTTAAATCCTTATTAATTCAGGTTGCCATATACTTTTGATAATCAGCCAAATGTAAGTATTGTTTCCCATTAATAATATTGTTATTATTGTTGTTTGATTAATGTGGTGTCACATGAAGGAAACTGAGTCAAATGACAATTTATACAATCAACATTTGCCAGTCTAAGAAGTGTTTAAATATATGTAACATGATGTAAGCATTTATGATCTTATGTCTGGAATTTTATTGGTGAGGTGGCTGAGAATATTTGTTGATTTTAAAGAAATCTTAAAACTAAATATTGTGGGGGGTTTTTCTCCTTTTGTGTGTTTTTTTTTTTTTTTCAAGAGAAGTTAGCTTTTCGTATAAATTTAAAATATTTGTTGATACCATTAGTGTCTACAACAGAGAATACCGTGTGCCAAAAATTGGCATCATGAAGGTTTCAGCTCTCTAATAATATTAATTCAATAATATTCAAAAGTGGCGAATCTCCCGAGAGAAAAGTTTCACTTTCAAGATATTTTAAAAATTAAATCATAAGAAATATGCTTCTTTTTTTGCATGGATGGGGGGAATCTGAGCACCTGGAGAAAACCCACTGCAGCAGCACATGGAGATCTCTCGAATACACGTGACTTTCTGTCAGGTTATAATAATATAAGCGCCTCTCAACCATGCTGCTCTTTTTTAAAAATTGGAATATTTTGAGTTCAAAGAAAGCCATTTTTCTGCCTCAATCCATGACAAGTAAAATCCACTCATATTCATACGCAGTGACTCATCCTGGCCTTTTTTTCTGGAAAAGTGGAAAAAAATATCCAGAACATTATATCTGAAGCCCAAGTTTAACAGGGAGTCGTATGATTTTTAAATTTGGTTTTGTGTACTTGGGTGCTTGAGGCTGATATGATCAGATTAAATATACTATCAGTAACAGAACCACGTTACTATTATCTAATCAAATTCAGAATACACCAAACAGTTTGCCTTTAATAGTCTATTTTGAGGGGCTTCGATTGAGAAGGTGGCATTCTTATAAGAACAATGTGTTGGTGACAATGGCGTTGGATGTTTGAGTTTGCCCTGAAATCGAAGGATTGACAGTTCAAGCCCAGACTCCGACTCGTTGTGTCCTTGGGCAAGACACTTCACCTGCATTGTCTACTGATGGTGGTCAGAGGGCCCTATTTTTATTTTTATAGTGCTATTTTTATAGCACCTCTTCACAACACGTCATCTCAAGGAACTTTATAATTCACCAGATCATACAATCAAATTGATTCAAAGTTGTCTATGTAAGGAAAACCAGCTGATTACATCCACTCATTGACTCAAAGGCAATCCCTAACACTAAGCAAGCTTGTAGCGACAGTGGAAAAGAAAAACTCCCTTTTAAAACGAAGAAACCTCCAGCAGAACCAGGCTCAGTGTGAGCGGCCATCTGCCGAGGCCGACTGGGTTCAAGGAGACGGAAGAAGAGATACAAAAAGCAGCTGTAAAAGGCGGCCCCATCCAGAAAACACACATCCAGGCAGATGGACTCTGAGCCAGCTCCCATGTCAGAGAATGAAGAGAGCACATCCAGCCAACAAACGGTACTACACTAGTGCTGTATAAGTAGAAGGTCCTCTGCTGATTTTTATGAATGAGCCTCTCCCTCAAGGTAGAGCATCTGTATAGTTTGCAACTCTTTCAGGCTAAGATTCTCCCTTTCCTACTTTGTGCTGATTTCCTTGTGAGAAACTTTGGCTTTAGAATTTTCTTGCAGGCAGGTGATTTTCTAAGCCATTACCTAATGGAGAGTTTAATTCTCTGCTTTCTGGTTAATGACCTGAAGGTTGGTCACAGATGTTTAGGAATGAGCTTCTCTTTCCTTACTCAAGTCAGCTTTGACTTTTTCAGCTCTCTTTGCAAAATGGTCTCTGTGTCTTTACATTTGTCTTGCAGACCTGTGATTGTCTGGAAGAAGCTTCACTTTCCTTACCCAGCTCTTGTTTCAGTGTTTTTGCCTGTTCTCTTAGCATAACATTGCCCTTTTCAACAGATGACTTCCCATTGCGTAGCCCTAATCCAATCTAGCTCCATCTGCAAACGAGCTTCTGTGTCTTCAGCTGTTTGCTCAAGCGATTCTTGGTTCGACATCTATGGTTCGAAACAAATTCATTCAGGATCTTCATTTCATAGGTCATTTTTTTAAAATTGCGTTTGATGTTTGCATTTAGCTTCTGTTTCGAACCTCAATTTTCCACATACCGCAACCTCATACTTTCTTGTAACTTCTTTGTTTAAAAGTATTTCTTCTTGCAGCTCTCTCTGGAAACGTGTCTCTGTCTCCTCAGTGGATTGTTCAAGGCTTGTAACTTTTTTATGAGCCATTTCTTGGAGTTTTGTTCTTGTCTTTAGTTCTTTAAACATCTGAATGCCGTTCATTGACGTCTTTGAATGACGTTCCATGTCCTTAATCAGTTTTTGTCTTGTCCTTCAGAGTAGGTGTACCTCTTTCAAACTTATCAACCATTTTCCATCTTACTTGTTGCCTCAATGTAAGAGTATTTAGGTGGTTTAGAGATGGTTTCTTGACTACAGATCTTAAATTGCTCCAGTTAATTTTGCAGAGCAGTACATTTCTACTGTTTCAGTTGACGCAAAGTTTCATTCTCAGCTCTAAATGAGCTAAGAAGATTTTGCATATCAACAGTTTTCTTTTTGTTGGATTCTTTGTTGTGGTGAGATTTTTGCTTTTCCAGCTGGAACTTTGTTAATTGCATTTCTTTTGTCAAATCTTTCATTCGCTCTTCTTTCATTTTGTTTCTCTCCACACCTAAAAGACATTGGAGCCTGTTTATCTCACTTTACTTACACTGCCCTCTCTGGTGGGATCTTCTTGTCTAGTTTTGACATTTTCTCACTATCAATATGAAAAACCACTGAAAATAATCAAACTATAATTACTCCTTTTTAAAATATGTTATGTTTGAATTCTTTTTATTCTTCCAGTTCATATTATATATATAAATTTTTTTAAACAAAAAAACCCCGCAAAGCGTATAGCTGCATGAAAGGTGTGACATCATTGTTTGCAAAGCTCATTATCTATTAAGGCCTTCTCATAATGATATAAGCGAAATAGCTTAAAGGTATTGTGGAGGATTTTTTTAAAAGACCCGCCCTCTCCACTTTAAACATAAAATGGTCATGCAAGAGCATGCATGAGCCGATTTCTCCTCTTGCATGCCCTGTTTAAAATGAGCTGTTGTCATATAGCTCATAAGCTTACTGTGTCCACATACAGCAGGGATTATATAAAGGACTTTATAGCAAACAGTTAACTGACTGTTCAGACAGGTGATCACTGCTTTTTGCATCGTTGGTCTCCTAACTCCTCGTCCATGTCTGTGCCATCTTTGCTATTCGTCACCGCTACGGGCCGCAGTGACAGCAAATCCCATAGTGCTTTGCGAGGAGAGCTCTCCACTCTCACTTCATAGACACTTTTTCTCTTACAACCCTTGGCCATTTTCAAAGACCCACGGTGCGAAACGTGAGCTTTAATGACTGTTTACAACCATAGCCCACCACATATATGCAGCTGAAATTGAGCATGTGCAGAAAAAGAAAGCTAATGGGGTGAGCACGAAGGACGGCCTTACGTAAACTGAGTTTAACTGAGTCAGTTCATTTAGCCTAGACATATTTGTTGCCCAAATAACCGATGCTCCAATCTGTAAGGATTAGTATGCACATGATTAGGGACTTTTAAATTTCTGATTCAATGCCAATATAGCAGCTTTGATAATTGACCGACATCGATATTGACATGATGCAATATCAGCACGAATCCCACATACTTTTATTACTCATAGTGTGGAATGTTACAAAAAGCTTAAACATGACCCATTTATGAATTATATGGGTTACATAAACTTTAAACAAAAGCAGATAGAAGAGGAGTGTTTGTGGCAGGCTTATATTGGAGAGTTTAGATGCAGTAAGATTATTTTGATGTTCTTTTTTTGGCTAATATTGGACCGATTTCAGGTT